GCTCTTTCATTGGGACGACACACCCCAGCATCCTGAATGGGATTCTGGGCCTTGTAGCTTTAGAGACAGGGATGCTGGGCCTTGTAGCCTTAGATAACAGGCATGCTGAGCCTTGTAGCCTTAAATACAGGGATTCTGGGCCTTATAGCCTTAGAGACAGGCATGCTGAGCCTTGTAGCCTTAAATACAGGGATGCTGGGCTTTGTAGCCTTAGATAACAGGGATTCTGGGCCTTAGAGACAGGGATTGTGGACCTTGTAGCCTTAGAGACAGGGATGCTGGGCCTTGTAGCCTTAAAGACAGAGATGCTGGGCTTTGTAGCCTTAGATAACAGGGATTCTGGGCCTTAGAGACAGGGATGCTAAGCCTTGTAGCCTTCGATACAGGGATTGTGAACCTTGTAGCCTTAGAGACAGGGATTCTGAGCCTTGTAGCCTTAGATAACAGGCATGCTGAGCCTTGTAGCCTTAAATACAGGGATTCTGGGCCTTGTAGCCTTAAAGACAGGGATGCTGAGTCTTGTAGCCTTAAAGAGCAGGATTGTGGGCCTTGTAGCCTTAAATACAGGGATTCTTGGCCTTGTAGGCTTCGATAACAGGGATGCTGAGCCTCATAGTCTTAAATACAGGGATGGTGAACCTTGTAGCCTTAAGAGACAGGGATTCTGAGCCTTGTAGTCTTAGAGACAGGGATTCTGGACCTTGTAGGCTTTGATAACAGGGATGCTGAGCCTTGTAGCCTTAGAGACAGGGATGCTAAGCCTTGTAGTCTTAGAGAACAGGGATGCTGAGCCTTGTAGGAGCCTTGTAGCCTTAGATAACAGGGATTGTGGGCCTTGTAGCCTTAGATAACAGGGATTCTGGGCCTTAGAGACAGGGATTGTGGACCTTGTAGCCTTAGAGACAGGGATGCTGAGGATTGTAGCCTTACATACAGGGATTCTGGGCCTTAAAGACAGGGATTGTGGACCTTGTAGCCTTAAAGACAGGGATGCTGGGCCTTGTAGTCTTAGAGAACAGGGATTGTGGGCCTTGTAACCTTAAATACAGGGATGCTGAGCCTTGTAGGAGCCTTGTAGCCTTAGATAACAGGGATTGTGGGCCTTGTAGCCTTAGATTTTGACCAGGCCCTCACCAAGGAAGAGGGTTAACCTTTCCTGAGGAGGCGGGATTGGGAGCGAGAGGCGTGTTTTTCCCATGGCTGTGGCCTCTCCTCAATCTCTCTCTCCCTCCCTTTCCCTCCTCCTCCTCCTCCTCCCTTCTTCAGCCCAGCAGGGAAGTTTGGCTTCTCTCTCTCTCTCTTCTTTCTCCCTCAGTGGAAAGTGCGCCCGTGCGCATGCGCGCCTGCCTGCCTGCCTGGCGCGAGGGAGCCTTCCCCCCCTCCCCCCGCCCACCGCAGAAAGCGCGCTCCTGGCACGTGCTCCTGGCGCGAGCGAGGGCGAGGGAGGGAAACCGGAAGCGGCGGGCGCGCGCGAGGGAGCGGGCCAATCCGGTGGCTCGGGGGAGGCACGAGAACAGCTGGCTGCGGCTGGAGGAGGAGGGGGAGGGGAATAAGATGATTGACAGCTCCCGGAGCTCGCAGCCAATGGCAAGCCGCTTGGCTTGCCGCCTCGCCCTGATTGGCTGCCTGCCCTAAGCGGGCTTCGCGTGCCGGGACAGCTGCTGCTGCTGCTTCACTCTCTCTCTCTGTCTCTCTGTCTCTTCCCCACTTTGAACCGGATTATTGGAGTCCACACTGCCATATAATCCGGGATAAACACAAAAGGATAGGAATCAGAGCCTGGGATGATAGAGACTGTCCAGAAGGGCTTCGAACCGGATTATTGGAGTCCACACTGCAATATAATCCGGGATAAACACAAAAGGATAGGAATCAGAGCCTGGGATGATAGAGACTGTCCAGAAGGGCTTCGAACCGGATTATTGGAGTCCACACTGCAATATAATCCGGGATAAACACAAAAGGATAGGAATCAGAGCCTGGGATGATAGAGACTGTCCAGAAGGGCTTCGAACCGGATTATTGGAGTCCACACTGCAATATAATCCGGGATAAACACAAAAGGATAGGAATCAGAGCCTGGGATGATATAGACTGTCCAGAAGGGCTTCGAACCGGATTATTGGAGTCCACACTGCCATATAATCCGGGATAAACACAAAAGGATAGGAATCAGAGCCTGGGATGATAGAGACTGTCCAGAAGGGCTTCGAACCGGATTATTGGAGTCCACACTGCAATATAATCCGGGATAAACACAAAAGGATAGGAATCAGAGCCTGGGATGATAGAGACTGTCCAGAAGGGCTTCGAACCGGATTATTGGAGTCCACACTGCCATATAATCCGGGATAAACACAAAAGGATAGGAATCAGAGCCTGGGATGATAGAGACTGTCCAGAAGGGCTTCGAACCGGATTATTGGAGTCCACACTGCATATAATCCGGGATAAACACAAAAGGATAGGAATCAGAGCCTGGGATGATAGACAGAGCCTTAACTGCTATAATAATGATATAATATAATATAATATAATAATATACTGTATTATAATAATTATAATATAATAAAATGACATAATAATAAAATAATTAGTAGCAATATAATATATATTTTCCATAATTCTATGCAAAATAAGTCTCTCAATAAATATAATGACAGTAATATAATATACATATAATAAAATAATAATATAATAAATAATAATTAATAACAATATAACAATATAATAGCAATAAATCAACATAATTATAATGACAGTACTATACATATAATAAAATAATTATATAATAAATAGTAATTAATACAATATAATGTTAATATAATATTATAATATAATCACAATAGAACAATAATATAATTATAATTACATTAATATAATGTACATATAATAAAATAATAATAATATAATAGCAATAAAACAATCATATATTATAATTCCAGTAATATACTATACATATCGTAAAATAATAAAAATGAAATAATATAATATAATTCATAATATAAATATAATAATATAATATAATAATATATAAATAGTATAATAGCAATAAAACATAGTTATTGTGTTGCTATTATTATTATAGCTGTTATTGTTATTATTATTGGGTTGTTATTGTTTCTATTATATTATTATTATAGTTATATTATTGTTATTATTGGGTTATTATAGTTATTATAGTGATTTTTATTATTATTATAGTTATTTTTGGGTTACTATATAGTTATTATTATTGGGTTATTATTATAGTTGTTGTGTTGCTATTATTATAGTTATTATTATTATTATTATTATTGGGTTATTATTATTCTTGGGTTATTATTATTATAGTTGTTATCATTATTGTGTTGTTATTAGTTATTGTGTTGTTATTATTATTATTATTGTTTTATTATTATTATAGTTTTTTATTATTGGGCTATTATTATTATCGCTATTATTATTATTAATTATTGGGTTGTTATTATTATTGTTATAATTATTGGGTTATTATTATTATTATAGTTATTGTGTTACTATTATTATTATAGTTGTTGTTATTATTATTATTATTGGGTTATTATCATTATTGGGTTATTATTATTGTTATAGTTATTATCATTATTGGGTTATTATTATTATAGTGATTGGGTTATTATTATTATTATTATTATTATTGGGTTATTATTATAGTTGTTATTATTATTGGGCTATTATTATTATTATTGGGTTATTATTATTAGAGTTATTGTGTTATTATTATTATTATTGGGTTATTATTATAGTTGTTATTATTATTGGGCTATTATTATTATTATTGGGTTGTTATTATTAGAGTTATTGTGTTATTATTATTATTGGGTTATTATTATTAGAGTTATTGTGTTATTATTATTATTATTGGGTTATTATTATAGTTGTTATTATTATTGGGCTATTATTATTATTATTGGGTTGTTATTATTAGAGTTATTGTGTTATTATTATTATTGGGTTATTATTATAGTTGTTATTATTATTGGGCTATTATTATTATTATTGGGTTATTATCATTATTGGGTTATTATTATTGTTATAGTTATTATCATTATTGGGTTATTATTATTATAGTGATTGGGTTATTATTATTATTATTATTATTATTATTATTGGGTTATTATTATTAGAGTTATTGTGTTATTATTATTATTATTGCGTTATTATTATAGTTGTTATTATTATTGGGCTATTATTATTATTATTGGGTTATTATTATTAGAGTTATTGTGTTATTATTATTATTATTGGGTTATTATTATAGTTGTTATTATTATTGGGCTATTATTATTATTATTGGGTTATTATTATTAGAGTTATTGTGTTATTATTATTATTGGGTTATTATTATAGTTGTTATTATTATTGGGCTATTATTATTATTATTGGGTTGTTATTATTAGAGTTATTGTGTTATTATTATTATTGGATTATTATTATAGTTGTTATTATTATTGGGCTATTATTATTGTCGTTATTATTATTTTTAATTATTGGGTTGTTATTATTATTGTTGTTATTATTATTAGGTTATTATTATTAGTATAGTTATTATTATTATTGGGTAGTTATTGTTGTTATAATTATTGGGTTATTATTATTATAGTTGTTGTTGTTATTATTGGGTTATTATTATTATTATTATTTATTGGGTTGTTATTATTATTGCAGTTGTTGTTGTTGTTATAGTTCTTCTTGTTGTTGTTGGTTGTGTTGCACACCTTTTTTTTTCCCACGGGTGGACGGGACGTGGAATTCCTTCCTCCTGGGCTCCTCTGAGTGGGAGAGGAACAGATCTGGAGATACCTACAGATATGAATACATATATGTATATATATTATATATATGGGGAGAGGGGCTTATCCTGGGGGGAGGGGGGGGTTTGAGAGGAAGCCCAGCGCGTGACTGACAGCTCGCGGGGGCGCCGTCCAATCGCTGTCCACGGAGGGGAGAGCCCGGCCTGGGATTGGCTGCCCGGAGTGTGGGAAAGAATGTGGAGAAGGTTTCACACGAATTGGGAGCCGCCGCCGGCTATAAAAGGGAAGGGGGAGCCGCAGACAGAGAGACACTCCGCCTCTGCCTCCTGCCCTTCAGTCCTCCCTCTGCACGGCTCTTTCCAAGCCGGGAAGCTCCCTCCCGCATTTGGAGTCCAGTTTGGAAAGGGCGCAAACCCGAATCGGGACCAGGATGCCGGCGGATACCATGGAGAAGCCCACCGCCTCCCCCATTGCGGGGGCTCCGGCCAGCTCCAGCCAGACCCCCGACAAGCCCAAGAGTGCCAGCGAGCACAGAAAGGTGAGGAAGGCATGGAAAGAAGGGTCTTCTGCCACTCCTGGGGATGGAAACCCTCCAGAGAGGTTATCTTGGGGTCCAAAAGGGAGGGATGGGGTGGGAAGTGTTAGCTTTGGGGCTGGAAACCCTCAGGAGAAGGTATCTTTGCTTGCTTTGGGGCTGCAAAAAGCTCCAGAGAGGTCATCTTAGGGTCCAAAAGGGAGGAATGGAGGGGGAAGTGTTAGCTTTGGGGCTGGAAACCCTCAGGAGAAGGTATCTTTGCTTGCTTTGGGGCTGCAAAAAGCTCCAGAGAGGTCATCTTAGGGTCCAAAAGGGAGGAATGGAGGGGGAAGTGTTAGCTTTGGGGCTGGAAACCCTCAGGAGAAGGTATCTTTGCTTGCTTTGGGGCTGCAAAAAGCTCCAGAGAGGTCATCTTAGGGTCCAAAAGGGAGGAATGGAGTGGGAATATATTGGCTTTGGGGCTGCAAAATCTCCAGAGAGGTCATTTTAGGGTCCAAAAGGGAGGAATGGAGTGGGAGATATTGGCTTTGGGGCTGGAAACCCTCAGGAGAAGGGATCTTCGCTTGCTTTGGGGCTGCAAAAGCTCCAGAGAGGTCATCTTAGGGTCCAAAAGGGAGGAATGGAGGGGGAGATATTGGCTTTGGGGCTGCAAAAGCTGCAGAGAGGTCATCTTAGGGTCCAAAAGGGAGGAATGGAGTGGGAAGTGTTCGCTTTGGGGCTGGAAACCCTCCAAAGAAGGCATCTTGGCTTGCTTTGGGGCTGCAAAAGCTCCAGAGAAGGCATCTTAGGGTCCAAAAGGGAGGAATGGGGTGGGAAGTGTTATCTTTGGGGCTGGAAACCCTCCAAAGAGGTCATCTTAGGGTCCAAAAGGGAGGAATGGAGGGGGAGATATTGGCTTTGGGGCTGCAAACCCCCCAGAGAAGGCGTCTTGGCTTGCTTTGGGACTGCAAAAGCTCCAGAGAGGTCATCTTTGCTTGCTTTGGGATCCAAAAGGCATGAATGAAGTGGGATATATTGGCTTTGGAGCTGCAAAATCTCCAGAGAGGTCATTTTAGGGTCCAAAAGGGAGGAATGGAGTGGGAGATATTGGCTTTGGGGCTGGAAACCCTCAGGAGAAGGGATCTTCGCTTGCTTTGGGGCTGCAAAAGCTCCAGAGAAGGCATCTTAGGGTCCAAAAGGCAGGAATTGAGAGGGAAATGTTAGCTTTGGGGCTGCAAAATCTCCAGAGAGGTCATCTTAGGGTCCAAAAGGCAGGAATTGAGTGGGAGATATTAGCTTTGGGGCAGCAAAAGCTCCACAGAGGTCATCTTAGGGTTCAAAAGGCAGGAATGGAGTGGGAGATACTGGCTTTGGGGCTGCAAACCCTCCAGAGAAGGCATCTTGGCTTGCTTTGGAGCTGCAAAAGCTCCAGAGAGGTCATCTTAGGGTCCAAAAAGCAGGAATTGAGAGGGATATATTGGCTTTGGGGCTGGAAACCCTCCAGAGAGGTCATCTCAGGGTCCAAAGGGAGGAATGGAGTGGGAGATATTGGTTTGGGGCTGCAAAAGCTCCAGAGAGGGCATCTTAGCTTGCTTCGGGTCCAAAAGGGAGGAATGGAGTGAGAGATATTGGTTTTGGGGCTGCAAAAGCTCCAGAGAGGGCATCTTAGCTTACCTTGAGTCCAGGAGGCAGGATGTTGGGATGGGAAATAGTGTAAACAATCCAGTAACAAGGCGAGGATTCACCCTTAAGCACTGAGATCCATGGCTAGAGCCATGGTAGAAGGAGAAGGGTGTCTGGACCTCACTGGGAATGTGGATTGCAAGGCTAACAATTCACAGTTTGGGATTGTTTTGGGAACTGAGATGCCCTCTGGATTGCAAGGCTGAAGAAACCCATATGGGGTTGGGTTCAGAATTGAGATGCCCTCTGGATTGCAAAGCTGAGGAAACCCATAGAGGATTGGGTTCAGAATTCTGGATTGCAAGGTTGAGGAGACCCATATAGGGCTGGGTTCGGAATTGAGATGCCCTCTGGATTGCAAGGCTGAGGAAACCCATAGAGTATTGGGTTCAGGACTGAGATGCCCACTGGATTTCAAGGCTGAGGAGACCCATATAGGATTGAGTTCAGAATTGAGATGCCCTCTGGACTGCAAGGTTGAGGAAACCCATAGAGGATTGGGTTGGAAATTCAGATGCCCTCTGGATTGTAAGGCTGAGGAAACCCTCTTGTGATGCCCTCTGGATTGCAAAGCTGAGGAAACCCATATAGGATTGGGTTGGGAATTGAGATGCCCTCTGGATTGTAAAGCTGAGGAGACCCATATATGGTTGGGTTCAGAATTTAGATGCCCTCTGGATTGTACAGCTAACAAGAAACCCATAGAGGATTGGGTTTGGAATTAAGATGCCCTCTGGATTGCTAGGTTGAGGAAACCCATAGAGGACTGGGTTGGGAATTGAGGTGCCCTCTGGATTGCAAGGCTGAGGAAACCCATATAGGATTTGGTTCAGGACTGAGATGCCCTCTGGATTGCAAGGCTGAAGAGACCTATATAGGGTTGGGTTCAGAACTGAGATGGCCTCTGGATTGCAAGGTTGAGGAAACCCATATAGGATTGTGTTCAGAATTCTGGATTGCAAGGTTGAGGAAACTCATAGAGGATTGGGTTCGGAATTTAGATGCTCTCTGGATTGCAAGGCTGAGGAAACCCTCTTGAGATGCCCTCTGGATTGCAATGCTGAGAAAACCCATATAGGATTGGGTTGGGAATTGAGATGCCCTCTGGATTGCAAGGTTGAGGAGACCCATATAGGATTGGGTTCAGAATTTTGGATTGCAAGTTTGAGGAGACCCATATAGGGTTGGGTTCGGAATTGAGTTGCCCTCTGGATTGCAAGGCTGAGGAAACCCATATAGGACTGGGTTCATGACTGTGATGCCCTCTAGATTGCAAGGCTGAGGAGACCCATATAGGGTTGGGTTCAGAATTGAGATGCCCTCTGGATTGCAAGGTTGAGGAAACCCATAGAAGATTGGGTTGGGAACTGAGGTGCCCTCTGGATGGTAAGGCTGAGGAAACCCTCTTGAGATGCCCTCTGGATTGCACAGCTAACAAGAAACCCATACAGGATTGGGTTGGGAATTGAGATGCCCTCTGGATTGTAAGGCTGAGGAAACCCTCTTGAGATGCCCTCTGGATTGCAAGGCTGAGGAAACCCATATAGGGTTGGGTTGGGAATTGAGATGCCCTCTGGATTGCATAGTCTTGATGCCTCAACGTCTCCCCTTTCTCTCTCCTCCCCAATCCACTCCACAGTCTTCCAAGCCCATCATGGAAAAGCGCCGCCGGGCCAGGATTAACGAGAGCCTCGGCCAGCTCAAGACTCTCATCCTGGACGCCTTGAAGAAAGACGTAAGTGGGAGAGCCCAACTGGGCGTCCACTTTGTTTATATCGTGCCACCCTCTCCCACAAGGGGCTCGGGGCGTATTACAGGGCAGCACATTGTAGTGGTCATGAGAATGCATACAATACAAGTAAAATGCATCAGTATTTGCATTTAGAGCAATAAGACTTACAAAAGATAATAATAATATATTATGTTATGTTATTATCTTTTGTAAGTACTGTTATAAATGTAATAATAATAGTATACATTAATATTGTTTTGTTATTGTTATAAATGTAATAATACTAATATATATTATATAATTGTTGTATTATATTATTATCTTTTGTGTTATTGTTTCAAATGCAATAATATTATTATATAATTATTATTTTATTATTATATATTATATATTATTACTATCACATTTAGAACAATAAGACTTACAAAAGATAATAATATTATATAATATATAATAATAAAACAATAATTATTATATAATAATATCATTGCATTTGAAACAATAACACAAGAGATAATATAATATTACTATCACATTTAGAACAATAAGACTTACAAATAATAATAATATTATATATATAATAGATAATAATAGAATAATATTATTATATAATAATATCATTGCATTTGAAACAATAACACAAGAGATAATATAATATTACTATCACATTTAGAACAATAAGACTTACAAATAATAATAATATTATATATATAATAGATAATAATAGAATAATATTATTATATAATAATATCATTGCATTTGAAACGATAACACAAGAGATAATATAATATTACTATCACATTTAGAACAATAAGGCTTACAAAAGATAATAATATTATATATATAATATATAATAATAGAATAATAATTGTTATATAATAATATCATTGCATTTGAAACAATAACACAAAAGATAATAATATAATACAATAATTATATAAAATATATTAGTATTATTACATTTATAACAATAACACAAATATAATATTAATATATAATAATATTTAATATAATATAGTAATATATTATTATTATGTATAACAATAACACAAAAGATGATGAGGATAATATATATACACACACATTTAGGACAATAACACTTAATATTGATAATAATAATACTGATAATAAGATAATAATAACATATACTTTTTTTCATGTCAAGAGCGACTTGAGAAACTGCAAGTCGCTTCTGGTGTGAGAGAATTGGCCGTCTGCAAGGACGTTGCCCAGGGGATGCCCAGATGTTGCCCAAATGTTTTGATGTTTGACCATCCTTGTGGGAGGCTTCTCTCATCTTCCCACATGGGAAGCTGGAGCTGACAGAGGGAGCTCACCCTTCTCCCTGGGTTCGAACCGCCAACCTTTTGGTTGACCAGTGATTTAGGAAAGGGCTGAAAGGACTCCCCATCTTCTTCTGCCCCTCAATGGAGATGTAGTTGGCATCTTATGGTCCTAAGAGCTCTGTGGCCTGAAGCAATGCAAGGACGGTGGGAAGGAGATAAGAGCCAGATGCTAATTAATTAGCCTCAGGCGGCCTGATGTAATGAGGATGGTTTTGAGGCATGCACCCGACACTTGACGACTCTATTGTCTTTAATTGCCCACACACCCAAATAGAGCAAAACCCTTCATTCACCTCTCGCTCCTTTGCTTCCTCCTACAGAGCTCCAGGCACTCCAAGTTGGAGAAAGCAGATATCCTGGAAATGACCGTCAAGCACCTGCGAAATCTCCAACGAGCCCAGATGACAGGTGAGTGGCTCTTTGGGACTTGAAACCACATCTTCCCGGTCAAAGGCCAACCCCAAAATAGATTGTCTTCTCTCCTTCCCATCTCCCCACCTTAGGGTTTGCTTAAGTTGGGGTTCCTCAACTTGGAGGTCATGGAAGGTGTCAGAGAGGTCACCAAAGACCACACTATTTTTTGTTGGTCATGGGAGTTCTCTGTGCCAAGTTTGACCCAATTCTATCCTTGGTGAAGTTCAGAATGCTCTTTGATTGTAGGTGAACTATAAATCCCAGCAAATACAACTCCCAAATGACAAAATCAATTTTTTGAGTGATGGTCACTCCTTGGGTTAGTAGGTGTCTTGTGTCCAAATTTGGTGGCGATTAGTCCAGCGGTTTTTGAGTTATTATGTCACAGTCTGAGAGAGCCCTCAGTGTGAGAAAGGCCTCAGTGTGAGATAGGCCTCAGTGTTAGCAGGAAGGTCTACTAACACTGAGAAGCTTTGGTAAAGGAAGCCCCAGGTTGAAGACCCTCATGTGTGTAAAAGAACTACGGTGTGAAGCTCCTGTGTAACTTCGGTGTGAGAGCGAATCTCTTTATCTGCATGAGAAAGAAGCCCAGCATGAAAGCAAAGAAGGAAGTATAAAGAACTTTGTATGTAGGTGGACTACAACTCCCAAACTCAAGGTCAATGCCCACCAAACCCTTCCAGTATTTTCTGTTAGTCGTGGGAGTTCTGTGTGCCAAGTTTGGCCCAATTCTAACATTGGTGGGGTTCACAATACACTTTGATTGTAGGTGAATTATAAATCCCAGAAACTACAACTCCCAAATGTCAAGGTCTATTTCCCCCCAAACTCCACCAATGTTCACATTTGGGCATATTGAGTATTCATGCCAAGTTTGGTCCAGATCCATCATTATTTGATTGTAGGTGAACTATAAATCCCAGCAACTACAACTCCCAGATGTCAAGGTCTATTCTTCCCTCAACTCCACCAGTGTTTACATTTGGGCATATTGAGTATTCGTGCCAAGTTTGGTCCAGATCCATAATTATTTCATTGTAGGTGAACTACAAATCCCAGCAACTACAACTCCCAAATGTCAAGGTCTATTTTCCCCAAACTCCACCAATGTTCACATTTGGGTATATTGAGTATCCGTTCCAAGTTTGTTCCAGATCCATCATTGTTTGAGTCCTCAGTGCTCTCTGGATGTAGGTGAACTACAACTCCAAAACTCAAGGTCAATGCCCACCAAACCCTTCCACTATTTTCTCCTGGCCATGGGATTTCTGTGTGCCAAATCTGTGTGGGAAAGTTTGGCCCAATTCTATCATTGGTGGAGTTCAGAATGCTCTGATTGTAGATGAACTATAAATCCCAGCAACTACAACTACAACTAGAAAGGATTTTCCAGGAAGCTATACGTATCAATGTACAGCCTAGAAGAGTAGTTCTCAACCTTCCTAATGCAGCGACCCTTAATACAGTTCCTCATGTTGTGGTGACCCCCAACCATAACATTATTTTTGTTGCTACTTCATAACTGTAATTTTGCTACTGTTATGAATCATAATGTAAATATCTGATCTGCAGGATGTATTTTCATTCGCTGGACCAAATTTGGCACAAATACCCCATACGCTCAAATGTGAATATTGGTGGGGTTGGGGAGGGGGATTGATTTTGTCATTTGGGAGTTGTAGTTGCTGGGATTTATAGTTCACCTACAATCCAGAGAGCACTGTGGAATCAAACAATGATGGATATGTTTTCTGGTGGTCTTGGGCGACCCCTCTGAAACCCCCTCACAATCCCGACCCCCAGGTTGAGAAACGATGCAGTACAATGAGACACACAAACATAAACAAAGGCAAAGGCTTCTCCTTTCATTTCCAGCTTTGGAAGGTCCAGAAGCACTAGGCAAAAGCTTCTCCTTTCATTTCCAGCTCTGTAAGGTTGAGAAGCACTGGGCAAAGGCTTCTCCTTTCATTTCCGGCTTTGGAAGGTCGAGAAGCACTAGGCAAAGGCTTCCTCTTTCATTTCCGGCTTTGGAAGGTCGAGAAGCACTAGGCAAAGGCTTCCTCTTTCATTTCTGGCTTTGGAAGGTCGAGAAGCACTGAGTAAAGGCTTCTCCTTTCATTTCCGGCTTTGGAAGGTCGAGAAACACTGGGCAAAGGCTTCTCCTTTCATTTCCGGCTTTGGAAGGTCAAGAAACACTGAGTAAAGGCTTCTCCTTTCATTTCTGGCTTTGGAATGATGAGAAACACTGGGCAAAGGCTTCTCCTTTCATTTCCGGCTTTGGAAGGTCGAGAAGCACTAGGCAAAGGCTTCCTCTTTCATTTCCGGCTTTGGAAGGTCGAGAAACACTGGGCAAAGGCTTCTCCTTTCATTTCTGGATTTGGAAGGTCGAGAAGCACTGGGCAAAGGCTTCTCCTTTCATTTCCGGCTTTGGAAGGTTGAGAAACCCTGGCCTAAGTCCGCACAAAAAGCCTTGCAGCTGAACAAAGGATTCAAATCCAGGTCCTCCGTCACCAAAGCCCGCTTGCAACACGGGGAGCGGTGAGTCAGCCAATCCCTGAGAAAGCCAACTGCAAAAACGTGTCCGCCGAGGAGGAGAAATGCCAGAGCTGGCATCTAGTTCACAGATTTTGCTTGGGAAAGGAAGGGGGAGGAATTGACCCCAACAAGAGGCTTAGAAAGGCTTTGAATGATTCCAGCTCTTAATCCCTCCCTCTCCCTTTCTTTCCTGCAGCCGCTCTGAGTGCCGACCCGACCGTTCTGGGCAAATACCGTGCCGGATTTAACGAATGCATGAACGAAGTCACCCGTTTCCTTTCCACCTGCGAGGGCGTGAACACCGAAGTCCGCGGCCGCCTCCTAGGACACCTCTCCACATGCCTGGGCCAGATCGTGGCCATGAATTACCCGCCACCCCCGCCACCACCTCCGGCCGCCACCGGGCAGCCGGCGCATATGGCGCAACCTCTGCACGTCCAGATGCCGGGCCCAGCGGCCCAAGGCGGGGCCATGCCCGTGCCGTGCAAACTCAACCCCGGCGAAAGCATGTCCCCCAAGGTCTACAGCGGGTTTCAGCTGGTGCCGGCGACCGATGGCCAGTTCGCTTTCCTCATCCCCAACCCAGCTTTCCCGCCTGGCAGCGGGCCGGTGATTCCTCTCTACGCCAACGCAAACATGCCCGTTTCCTCTGGCGGCTCGACAGCAACTCCTTCCGTCTCCCCGGTGCAAGGTCTCACATCCTTCGGAGGGAGCTTAGCGCCCGTCTCCCAAGCCGGCGGGGAGCGCGGCGAAACCGTCTGGCGGCCGTGGTGACTGTCCTTTACCTTTCGCCTCCCTCCGCCGTTGACAAAAGACACATATGTGAATTTGGCTCCGTTGTATGGAGCCAGGACTTTGGAGTTTTTGTCCTGTTTGTAATTTTCCTTTCTTCCTACGAACTCTATTTATTTGTTTCCAAAGGTCTTGTATTTTTACTCCCTTTTTTTTTTCTAAAAAAAAATAATTGAAAACAAAAATGTTGTGTGAAATATAAAAAAAAAGTCTTAGTTTTTTTTATCAAATTTTCCCACATGCTATGCCAAAGCTTCTTTCTCTCTGTGTGTGTACGTATGTCTGAGAGAGTGAGTCTGTGTATGCGAGTCTGAGGATTTTCCTTTTGTTTTGAAAAGACTATTGGAAGATGTTTATACAAATAAACTTTCTTGAACTAGAATGGTTGCTGTGGAGTTGGTAAGGGGTAGGGATGGGGCCCCCTCTCTCTCACATACACCATTCTCTCCTTCCTTCCTTCCCTCTCTTTCCTTCCTCCTTCCTTCCCTGCAACTTTCATTCCTCTTTCATCCTTCCTTCCCTCTCCCTCTTTCTCATTCCTTCTTTCCTTCCATCCTTCCTTCCTTCTTTCTCTTCCTTCCTCCTTCCCTCCCACAGCTCTTTACCCCCTCTTACTTCCTCCCTCTTTCCCTTCCACCCTTTTGTCCTTCTTTCTTCCTTCTTTCCCTTCCTTCCTTCTTCTCTTTCCTTCCTCCTTCCCTCCCACACCTCTTTACCCCCTCTTACTTCCTCCCTCTTTCCCTTCCACCCTTTTGTCCTTCTTCTTCCTTCTTTCCCTTCTTTCCTTCTTCTTTCCTTCCTCCTTCCCTCCCACACTATTTACCCCCTCTTCTTCCTCCCTCTTTCCCTTCCACCCCTTCCTTCTTTCTTTCCTCTTTCCCTCCTTCCTTCTCCTTCCTTCCTCCTTCCTTCCTCCTTTCTTTCCTTCCTTTCTTTCCTTCCTTCCCTTCTTCTTTCTCCTTCCTTCTTTCTTCTTCATCTATCCTTCTCTTCCTCCCTCCTTTCCTTCCTTTTTCTCTTTCCTTCCTCCTTCCCTCCCACAGCTCTTTACCCCCTCTTACTTCCTCCCTCTTTCCCTTCCACCCTTTTGTCCTTCTTCTTCCTTCCTTTCCTTCCTTCCTTCTTCTCTTTCCTTCCTCCTTCCCTCCCACACCTCTTTACCCCCTCTTACTTCCTCCCTCTTTCCCTTCCACCCTTTTGTCCTTCTTCTTCCTTCTTTCCCTTCCTTCCTTCTTCTCTTTCCTTCCTCCTTCCCTCCCACACCTCTTTACCCCCTCTTACTTCCTCCCTCTTTCCCTTCCACCCCTTTGTCCTTCTTCTTCCTTCCTTCTTTCTTCCTTCCTTCTTCTCTTTCCTTCCTCCTTCCCTCCCACAGCTCTTTACCCCCTCTTACTTCCTCCCTCTTTCCCTTCCACCCTTTTGTCCTTCTTCTTCCTTCCTTCTTTCCCTTCCTTCCTTCTTCTCTTTCCTTCCTCCTTCCCTCCCACAGCTCTTTACCCCCCTCTTGACTTCCTCCCTCTTTCCCTTCCACCCTTTTGTCCTTCTCTTTCTTCCTTCTTTCCTTTCCTTCCTTACCTCCATCTTTATCCCTCCCTCATTCCTTCCCTTTCATCCTTCCTTCCTTCCTTCCTTCCCTTCCTCTTCCCCTCCCTTCCACCCTTTCATCCCTCCTTCCCTTTCTCCTCCTCCCTCCTTCTTTCCCCTCTTTTCCCTCCATCCTTTCTTTCTTTCCTCCTTCCCACCCTCCCTTCCTTACCTCCCTCTTTTTCCCTCCCTCCTTCCTTCCACCCTTTCATCCTTTCCTTCCCTCCTTCTTTCTCTCTCCCTCAAGAGGTCCCTGGTCAAAGCGGTCCCTAGTCAAAGCAGACCCTGGTCAAAGCGGTCCCTAGCCAAAAGGTCCCTGCTGAAAGTCGTCCAAAGTGATCCCTAGTCAAGAGGTCCCTGGTCAAAACCGTCCCTAGTCAAGAGGTCCCTGTTCAAAGCAGTCCCTTGTCAAGAGGTCCCTGTTCAAGTGGTCCCTGATCAAAGCAGTTCCTGGTCAAGAGGTCCCTGGTCGAAGCGATCCCTGGTAAAAATGGTTCCTAGTCAAGCGGTTCCTGGTCAAAGTGATCCCTGGTCAGCATGGTCACTGGACAAAGTGGTCCCTGGTCAAAGTGATCCCCGGTCAAGTGGTCCCTGGTCAAAGTGGTCCCCAGTCAAGAGGCCCCTGGTTAAAGCGGTCCCTAGTCAAAGCAGACCCTGGTCAAAGCGGTCCCTAGCCAAGAGGTCCCTGGTCAAAGTGGTCCAAAGTGGTCCCTAGTCAAGAGGTCCCTGGTCAAAACCGTCCCTAGTCAAGAGGTCCCTGGTCAAAGCGGTCCCTTGTCAAAGCAGTCCCTAGTCAAAAGGTCCCTGGTCAAAGTGGTCCAAAGTGGTCCCTAGTCAAGTGGTCCCTGATCAAAGCAGTTCCTGGTCGAAGCGGTCCCTGGTAATAATGGTACCTAGTCAAGAGGTCCCTGGTCAAAGTGGTCCCTGGACAAAGTGGTCCCTGGTCAAGAGGTCCCTGGTCAAAGTGGTCCCTGGTCAAAGCGGTCACTAGCCAAGAGGTCCCTGGTCAAAGTGCTCCAAAGTGGTCCCTAGTCAAGAGGTCCCTGGTCAAGTGGTCCCTGGTCAAAGCGGTCCCTAGCCAAGAGGTCCCTGGTCAAAGTGCTCCAAAGTGCTCCCTAGTCAAGAGGTCCCTGGTCAAAACCGTCTCTAGTCAAGAGGTCCCTGGTCAAAGCACTCCCTTGTCAAGCAGTCCCTGATCAAAGCGGTCCCTGGTCAAAACGGTTCCTAGTCAAGAGGTCCCTGGTCAAAGCGGTCCCTGCTCAAGATTTCCTTGGTCAAAGTGGTCCCTGGTCAACGTGGTCACTGGACAAAGTGAACAAATTTGCCTTATCTTGTGGGCACTGTTCTGTCCCTGAGACCCTAAGAAAAATTACGGAAAGGAAAACTGCAAGTGGCCAAAGTCCACTTCTGGTTTTCCGAAACGGGCCCTTTTCCCAAGTTAAACACTACAAAGGGTCCCTCTGACCCAGTCAAAAGGGTGAAATCAACACTCCTAGAGGTTCCCAAAAGGGACGATTCATCCCTCTTGTTTTGGGTCAGAAAAGGGGTGGCTCAAAGGAATCGGAGGCCACAAAGACACACCTCGCCTCCTCTTTGCCCATCCTTCAAAGAAAGGTGCAACACCAACATGTCAACATAAAAAAAACTGAGCTGAAATATACGTATTCTGTAGTAAACAGGTTGGGAACAAAACACACACACACACACACACAGGTACATTATGCTGGGCCTGTCTTCTTTTCTCATGTTCGGGGTGAGCGAGGGAGGGAAGTGGGAAAAGTTACGCTCCCTCCCGCCTTATAGGAGCAGCTTTGGCCTCTTTTGTGAAGAAGGGTAATTAGAAGGTATAAAAGGTCTCATTGAGTATGCAGCGGGCTCTTTTTGCAAGGCCGAGCGCCTATTGAGACGCCTGGGAATGCAGCGCAGAAGGGTTCAATGTGCCTCTTTCCCGGCTTCCCACCCACCCACCCACCCCAGAAGCCCCCTTCTCATTGACAGGGTGAGATGGACTCTCCTACTCAATGGTGTTGTAAATTCAATCGCCTGCCTTCACAATGCCCACCTCATAAAAGGGAATAATTCAGCCCTGTTCCCTTTTTCTTCTCCTCTCACTCTCTCTGTCAGCCCTCTCCCACCCGCCCGCCCACCCTGTTCCTTCCACTTCGCCCACGGTACAGCAAGGCGGGAAAAGAATGGAGGAAGAGGCGATTTTGCCACCCATTAAGGACACACCAAACATATGAATCCCAGCCAAAGGGGAAGCAATTGCGACAGGGCTTGGCTGACAGCTGCAGAAGAATGGCCTGTTTTGAAATTGGCTCTGGTGGGAAAAAACGACGAGAGGTGGGCAGTGCATGAGGTGTGTTGAGATGGCTGCTTCAGGTAACAGGACAACCACAAGAAGGAGAAAAAAGAAAGATATAATGTGTTGTTTAAAAATACAATGGAGTCTGAGTCCTGAACAGTCCCAGATCTGCAGCCCCACCCAAAACATAGAGTTAAGGGAAACTGCATACCAATGCACACATGTACAATACAGTAAGCAATCTGACCAGGAGAAGAAGCAACAATATAATGTGTTGTTGAAAAATACAATGGAGTCTGAGTCCTGAACAGGCCCAGATCTGTAGCCCCTCCCAAAACATAGAGTTAAGGGAAACTGCATACCAATGCACACATGTACAATACAGTAAGCAATCTGACCAGGAGAAGAAGCAAGGATATAATATGTTGTTGAAAAATACAATGGAGTCTGAGTCCTGAACAGTCCCAGATCTGCAGCCCCTCCCAAAACATAGAGTTAAGGGAAACTGCATACCAATGCACACATGTACAATACAGTAAGCAATCTGACCAGGAGAAGAAGCAAGGATATAATATGTTGTTGAAAAATACAATGGAGTCTGAGTCCTGAACAGTCCCAGATCTGCAGCCCCTCCCAAAACATGGAGTTAAGGCAAACTGCATACCAATGCACACATGTACAATACAGTAAGTAATCTGACCAGGACAATAATGTGTTGTAAGTAAGTGTTGTAAGTAAGTAATCTGATGAAGACAATAATGTGTTGTTGAAAAATACAATGGAGTCTGAGTCCTGAACAGTCCCAGATCTGCAGCCCCTCCCAAAACATAGAGTTAAGGGAAACTGTATATCAATACACACATGGGCAATACAGTAAGAAATCTAACCATGAGAAGAAGCAAGGATATAATGTGTTGTTGAAAAATACAATGGAGTCTGAGTCCTGAACAGTCCCAGATCTGGGACCAATGCACACATGTACAATACAGCAAGTAATCTGACCAGGACAATAATGTGTTGTAAGTAAGTGTTGTAAGTAAGTAATCTGATGAGGACAATAATGTGTTGTTGAAAAATACAATGGAGTCTGAGTCCTGAACAGGCCCAGATCTGTAGCCCCTCCCAAAACATAGAGTTAAGGGAAACTGCATACCAATGCACACATGTACAATACAGTAAGCAATCTGACCAGGAGAAGAAGCAAGGATATAATATGTTGTTGAAAAATACAATGGAGTCTGAGTCCTGAACAGTCCCAGATCTGCAGCCCCTCCCAAAACATAGAGTTAAGGGAAACTGCATACCAATGCACACATGTACAATACAATAAATAATTTGACCAGGAGAAGAAAAATATAATGTGTTGTTGAAAAATACAATGGAGTCTGAGTCCTGAACAGTCCCAGATCTGCAGCCTCTCCCGCAACATAGAGTTAAGGAAAACTGCATGCCAATACACACATATAAAACACAGTAAGCAATCTAACCAGGAG